CATGCTGGTATGTCGTTGGAAGTAAAATCAGTCTGTAAATATGCGTTTCACAACTGAAGAACTCCTATTCGCAGTCCTTCATATCTGCCGTGAGGCACATCTATTATTATTATTATTTGCTTTTAGCCCCTGACGACTTGCCTCTATGCGAAATGTGGGAGAGAGTCGGGTATGAGAAATAATTCACACACAAGTTAGAACAAAGTTGTGTATCAATGTCTGTTATCGTTAATACTAAGTTGTCTCTACAAAAGTGAAACACTCAAGCATGACACTCAAAGTAGTGTGATCCGCACACACACACGCAGCGGGTAACCCTCCATCCCATCTATCAGATGCCTTCTGTGTTAGGAAGATATCAAACCTGGGATTCGACCAAATTGAACTCTGTGGTCGAAGAGGATAGATGTGTGGAAAGTCATGCAACAAAGTGTGAAAAGCCCGGGAATTAAAGACGAACTCTCCAACGAGTAAAGGCAGTGAGCAATTCGTGAACAACAACTCTGTGCAAATAAAAATCCAGCAAAGTTCAAATAAAAGTGCTCAAAGGCTCAGCGACCATTCATCATTTTTTGCCCGTGGTTCGTCCTGAATTTCAAACATATCCTGGTTACCCCCAACTAGAACAAGAGTAAATAACTTCGTTTAACGAAAAGTAGACTTAACCAATGTCTTAGTGCACTTCAGTGAGACTGATGTGAAAGAGGAGGAGGAGGAGGAGGACGCAAACGTAGAAGAAGCCAAACACGACGATGCGGGCTTTCCATTCAACTGCTAAAATTCCAATACAGACATGTATACTCTGTCAGTGTTTTTTTCAGTAAATCAATCTGAATACTCACGAGGTTGGGTGGTTAGCAAATGGGGTATTTTTTACTTTTTAAAATTTTTTTAAAGATATTTCTAGATTCATTATTTATTCGACTTTCCTTTATTGTGCAATTCGTTTATAACAGAGACGAGGCAAGTTAGTTTGCCTAGCTCCAGAGAGTTGTCCAAAGGCGCAACGCTCATTTAACACAATGCAGATCCTGGCTTTGTTCTCTTTTCATTCACAGTAGACAAGTTTATTTAAAAAAAAACTAATTTTATGCATACTGAATGGTTTTGTGTGTAATTTGCTTTTGGTGCGAAGTTTAATAAAATTTCATGAGCAAAAGTTCGTTTCTGTGAGGGGATATGTGTTTATTTAAAAAATATGCCGTGACACTTGATTGTTCCCACTCTACATATTCACATATATTATAACCACACTTTAGTCTGTAGAGGATTATCTGAGTCGACTTTACTCAAAATAGACGCACTCACTTGCTACACACGGATCGGGTGTAACGAAAACTCACTTCGGGATACACAGGTTGATGGTTTACTCCTTTTCACTTCATATTTGTACACAATCCAATGTTACTTGACACCCTCCTGTCTCGCTAGCCTCTAACCTTCTCACTCTAATGTAGGATTATATTTTCGGGATTATAATATTTATGTGATGGCTACAGTATTAGCATAAATTAACGAGTATCCAGTTTAGTGTTCGGCAAAAGTCCTGAATGCTTTCGCTAAAAATGTATCTATCTGTGGACATCTGAGCTTCACATAATGTCACGTTTTAAAACGTCCAAGACCAACACTACAATTGCAAATCCACTAAGGTTGTCATTTAGAAGTATTTTTGGTGCCTCGTGGAGTCAGTGTAAAGTCCATTTACTTTGCTGATTGCATAGAATTTAAAATGTTTTGCTTTTGAGATTTGCAGTTCATACGCCATTTGAGAGCATTCAGAGGTTAAGCATGTTTTGAGAACGAATGCACTGCATAGTTTTTCTACTTCTCTTTTAAAACAATGGTCTTTGACACCTAAATCATCCTTTGGTTTCTCTGTTACGAGTACAAAATAATTATCGGTATTAACTTCATGAACAATGACTCAGATTGAATCTCGTTGCATAAGGATTGGCCTTTAAGCACGGCCTCCTAATTTCACTCCCAGCCTGCATCGGGTTTTTGGTACAATTAATTGACCTAACCGGGTAATTATAAAACCGCCACTTCCGCCGAAATCTTCAATTTTCGAACGTTGTTCCCAAGGATCCACATGTGCTTGAAATTCTCTATATGCCACAACTTCCGGTCCCCTTTAGGATGTAAGAAATTTCTTCAAATCCACACCAATTCTGAATAACTAATGTCACCAACAGAATCGAAATCATTGTGGTTTCAATTAATTAAGGAAATGACTTTAAAATATAGCAATTGCTGACATTTTTCAGCTATAAGCAATGAGTACTATTGTTAATAATTTACTTTGGGACTTTTTTCAGGCTTGAATCTCATTATGAGTCGCTTTGGCGTTGAAGAGACCTCATCGCAAAACGATTGTTGCTGTTGCCGTTGCACAGAAGTTGGGGTGACTCTGAAGCACACTTTCGCGTAAATTCTTGTCAATTGGGGCGCCCCTCCCCTCCACGAACTCATCCGGCGAAAATTAAATTGCAGCATTTAATGAAGTTGCCTTTTTATCTTGCTGTTCATGGACACTCAGTAAACAAACAACCCGCTGAAAAAATGATGACATGGCAAGGTCGACGAAACCACTTATTCGGTCAAGAGATCCGTCATTTTTTTGCGTTTTATTCTTGATGAGGCAATCTAAGTTAAGTTACATTGGTATTCTTGAACTGTCAACGTTTGACTTGAAAGTTGACTTAACTATTTAATTAAAGTACTGTGCACTCGCCTTGAGCCAACTTCACCAAACCCCAATTGACGTAGCCAAATCAAAGTATGGCATGCCAAATACAGCTTACTGATTAATATAAGTAGCTAAAGCATATTCACTTTACATTTATAGTCTTTGCGATTCGTCTTCCTTAAAATCCGAAAACAAATGGATTAGTTGTTTTAGAAAGATTTGAATTACCCTTTAACAATTTTAATCTTAGTTCTTATCAAAATGACCCGCGGTTTCAATAGCAAGCCAGGAAATGGAACATATTTGTGGACCAAAAGACGCTCAATTACAAGGATTTGTGAAGCCTTTGTATTGATATACCCTTGGGATAGTGCGTTCCTCGTTAACCTTTGGATGCTACCGACAGCAGCGCCTCAGATCAAAGAGAAGGAAACAGAGGTGTACTTAATCCATTAGGATTCTGCAAGTATGATTTATTGGTCCAATAGAATCCTCTGCAGTGGTTAAACCAGTAGAATTAATTCAATCAATCATCTGACAATCACCGACTCTGCCCTTCATTGGCTACTTATTCACAGAAAGTATTCCAACTTTGACTAGCAGATCCGGTTTGGACAGAAATTGCCACAGAAACTCCACCAATGAAAATGAATTAAATGGGAAGTTCAGTGCTATTAATCCTGCCTTTGTTGGGCCTACTCAGCATGACCTATTCTCAATACCTACGCAGAAGGTAGCGACTGGCATCATTTATTCAGAACAACCCTGAGTAGCAAAGATACTACCATCATCGACGCCGAGTGGTCAGACAAAACAAGGCAGCCGTCACGTGAAAGGGCTATTTTAAAGGTGTTTAGATCGACTGTGAGTGGTGGGGTACTTCCTCGGTAGTGGCCTTCGCCGTGTTCCGGGGTCAGCTCGTGGAGGGCTTTGTAGCAACACGGCCTCATTTGCATGCCTCAGAGATGCATTTTAAAGTTTGATACATGTTTGTGAGCAGGCATCGAACACCACAGACCGAACAATGCAGACCGCAGTAACCCCTCCCTCCACCTGCACCCACGTTTGCCAGTCCTGTGCTGCTTGCTTACCTTTGTTAAAAATGAGCCCCAAGGGATTCAGCTTGGCACCACTTGTAGGTGCGGAATATTTGCTTGCAAACTGCGGCATCAAACTGTAATCGACTTCTATTATTAACTCTACAGCCTGGCTAAATCTTTTTGACGAAGTCGTTACATACTAATGCGCAGTTGATCAATTTAACCAAACGTCTTTTGAAGCATTTTAATGCGATCCGGATAAAAACTCATGAAAAATTTGAAGTTGACTCACTTCTTACCTGAGTACTTTTCTACTTCAACTGACCTTCAACAGCTTAACATAGGCTGATATGAGAAGCGTTCCGAGAGCACTAAGCTCCTCTCGGTGTTCCTCTTGCTGTTGGTTGAACAAAGGTTTTTTCTGTTTATAGGTTCTGCTTGACTGTTCCACCATCTCACTATAGGGCTCTGCGAGTTATTCGAAGGTGCCTCAGCTCACAGCTGTGTCAGTTGGCACACACTTCCCCATCTCAAGCTTTAGTGCCTATTTTCATCATTAGCCACACGTTTCGTGTCACATGAACTCTTGTCACAGCTTTTCCTGCTCTAAGCTAACAAACCAGCCAAATACCATGAAGTACTTTGAATTCCGAGGTCTCAATGCGTCTGTATATTTTCACGGTGCATTACTAAACCAGTTATGACATTTCATTTCACGAATACATTTAATCTCTGGATCACGTTTGTCAGAGATGCAATATTTACTTTTATAATTTCGAATATACTGGTTGTCTTGTTGTTTTTTTTATTCCATTGCTGAACAAGAAAGCTGTACTTTGTTAAAACTTAACTAATTTGCCCTTACAGAAGTTGATTCCTTCGATTGAACAAATTTATAACCGTTTTTTACTTATCAGCCTCCTCAAGATTACCTCCTTGTCAGCTACGAATTGTTAAGGTAAATATAGGCCTTGTTCCAATAACCTTTTCTCAGATAAGTGGAACTATTCAAAGTTTGTTTAAAGACAATTCCCCCATGCTGATGCCTACGTCCACGCCTTTCATGCAGGCTTTGCTTGGTTTGAGCCGCTTACATTTAGGATGAACGAAGGTACACTCAAGTGTCCAAACAGGCGCCAATTTTCCAACAACTGGTGTCAGGGACTTTAGCCCCGAAAGTGTGCCGTTTTGGGTGAAAAAAAATTCACTGTGGATTCTAAGAACACAATAAGCCATTGGACTTTCACTACGACTGTTGCAATAAAAGCCTATTCACTTTTATCAACAAAACTTTGCTGCGGCATGTAGGGAATGAGCTGCTGGCCGAGTGCGCCCCCGTCCATGTACCTTCCTGGCAGACCTCCCGTGGGTGCCAAAGTCGAGTTTTTTTGCACGTGATTCAATCCGTCGGTTGTGGCAGCGCCGAACTCCTTATCGAGAATTCGAATGGCCTCAGAGAGAACCCTCTGAAGGACGTTCAAGACCCCCATCACCGCGGGACACCCAAAACCGTGCGTAATCAGGTTGAAGTTTGCCAAGGATCGTTGGCTGCCCGTGGGCGGCTCCTGTCTTCTGCCAGTGAACGGGGAGCTCCAGGCTTGGCCCCGACCCACGTCAGAAGTGATTGCTTCCGCCACGTCGAGGACAACTTGTCTTTAACAAACGTAAATAACGACAAATATTAAACACCGTTTTCCTGTGTTAGGCAGAAGTCATATTCTTTAATAATTTAGAATACGGAATTATAATAAGTTTGTTAGGAGGTTTGAACACTCCAAAGTGCAGCCTTTACATTACTTGTCTTTACCTCATTCCTTTGAAGCCGCACAAGTTTTTAGAGGATTGTTTTGTTAACCGTGATTTTGTTGTGAGTCCCTTCGACCATATCGAGATGATAAATTTGTTGAGTCAATGCATTATCTCTGTAATGCTCCCATAAACAGTGTCGTGATGAAAAATGGGTCTTGATCTTTCCTGTGATATTCGATGTTAAGTAACTCCAGGCAACATAATCAATACAAATAACCCGACTAAACGCGATTTGTTCCTCTCAGAGATCTCGAAACTGGATTGAGATACGTAGCCCTAACCGACTGCTACCTGTGACTGTCACCCAGGTTGTCAAAAGAGGGGGAGGGGTGGGGTGGGGCGGGGCTGGTCGTACCTGGTGACGGAGATCTGGTTCCGTCGGGCCAGCGCACCCCCCGGAGTGCTGCAGGGGGCGCCGCGCACCAGCGCATCGGCACAGCTCGTGGTGGGGAATTCGTTCTCGCAGAGGTAGTTAAAATCCCTCGCTAGACGAATAGCTTCCCCTGGAAAAAGGCAGTTTATCAGCAATGCGTTTCAATAAAAAAAATTTATGCGGCACTTTTATCAATGAAACTTGTGTTCTTGGACTTGGTTAAGATAAGTTGGATAGATTACAACAAGGTTTGTGCTTAATTGCTTCGTTCATTTCCTTTTTTACAAACTAAATCAAGTGTCTTCACCAACTCAGCTCAGTTTTCAATCATGTCAGGACTAACGCACTTTGATTAAGCTGGTGTGTCTTCTGAGGCTAATTTCCTCGTCAAAGCTGTGTTCGTGATGCAGTTGACGGAAATATGAATTACATTTTGGGCCTACTATGTGAATACTGCTTCCAAAAGTCTCCAACAAGTGTGTCACAAGTGGTTAAATTACAAGGATTTGTGTTTAATTCAGTTGTATGGTTAGATGCAGATCAGTGCTGTCAAGCTCCATTAGACAAATTAACTCTTAGAGATGTTACCACTTTCCGAAAAGACTAAGTAAAGTGTTAGTGGAAAGTTCACGGGTCGCAGATTATGCAGCCTCTGCACATAATACTATTAATCTCATTGGCAAATACGTCTAACCCCTATCATTAGTTGAGTTTCTAACCAAAACCCTTTCCTAGTCACCCTATTTTGGGTTCGACCCTGACCTGACACACGAGATTTTCATCGGCAAGACACTACGGGAGCCTTAAGAGTACATTAAAACAATTTGAGTTCGCTTCTGTCACAAGTTGACAGTTTTGAATAAATCAAGCACTGTGTTTGGAAACATCTAGCTTAGCGCGCATGCGCCGCTAGTAATAAGATGAAGATTTATGTGATTAGCCACCTCAGTTATCGTCAAACTAATAAGTTTGGTGTTTAAATTATGAAGAGTAATAATCGAAGAAGGGAGCGTTTCCCATAGGCCAGATTGCTATTGTGCTCGTGTGTGTTCGTTCGATTCGGACGTCTTGAGGAGTAATGCCTCTTCAAAATAATTGGTTTGGCGTTCGTTTCAAGTCTGACTATAGAGGATTTTTCTTGACCAAACGAATGCCAATGTTGTTTCCTTTTAAAATATATTCTGTTCTGTATTTTTGAGGTGCCGAACGAAAGAGTTGCTGTCTGGGGGACGACTTAAAACTCGTGCTTAAACAACCAGCTCACTCTGTGGGTCTGATCACTCTGATCAGATGGCTACCGCCAGCACGCCTCCGCGCATTCACACGGAATCGCCGAACACACAAAGTGTTCCTCAAACCCAAGCTTAAAAGCTCACCTTCGACCAACGACGTCAAAAGAGTGACAGTTGCAGCTTTTCTTCTTCCGGCAGGGAGACTGAGTCCGATTTTGTCCAGTCTGTCACGAAGTGATCTTCCACCGTTCTTCGACTTTGCCCTAAAAACGTAGGAATAAAATCTGTCCAAAATTTGGCTTGATACTTACTAACTCGAAGTCATTCATGGAAAGGCGTTGGAGAATCTCTTTTTAGGCAGTCTTACAAGTCGCCTGGCAACAACACCACATTAGCCAAATAAACGATTTGACTACGGAAATTAAACGCGATTGACGGAGCTAACAAGTGAGGTAAAAAAGTCTGCCTGAATATGAAAGAAGTGATACAAGCGTTAACCGAGTAGGTCGGTGCAGCACAAGGGAAGGAATCCGTCGATGACCGATACACTCATAGTGGGCCACCCCAACGGATATGAATCAGTCACTATACAAAACTTCATGCCGACTGTAGTTCTGTGTTTTGGTGGTTTGGCTAATTGAGAACCAGCCTCTACTTGAGGGATTATCGGACATTTCATCTCTTGTATTCATTTTGCTGTTCGAACCCTAAAAGATCTCGTCTTTGTGATGAATTCACTTCAGTCACATGCAAATTTAAATGCGTTCTTCGTAGTGAGTGCTGCAACATTCTACATGGGATCTCCTACCTTCGAAGGACTCCTCCTAGTAGTGAAGCATTGAGACATTCCGGAGGAGACAATCTCCTTTGAACTTCAGCTACAGTCACCTTGTACTTGGAAGTTGCGCTTAGCAACGAAAGACGGCCAGGCACAGAACAGAATACGTCCGAGGGGTTCATCATGCGTCTGTTTTCGTTGGTATTTATCACCTTCTCCCCAACATGCCTGATCCGCGGGGCTGAAATTTAAACCATCTGAACTTAATGGGACATTCGATATTATTTTTTTAGTTTGTCCTGATTGTCGGCTTAGGATTAGGGGAAAACCTCTTGATATTGCCCCACTTGCCGTACACGTGTCATGCACCTACTACGTAGTGCCAAAGGGGTCCCTTGCAAGATCTGTGGCCCCTTTTGTTTTGGAAATGTTCGACTTCCCAGCTGCCAAATCAAATTAAATTCCAAAGCCAGTGTGGCTCTTTAAGCTTTGCTTGCAAGTCCCTAGTGCCACTATCGTCAAGTCTGATAACAAGCCTTCAGTTTCCTCTCTGACTGTGAAGTCACCAACTAAGCGGTCGTGTTGCTAGGGCGGACACAGACGGAGTGGTGTTGGGGGTGTTGGTTGCTAAAGTGGACCTTGGGGATTCCATTGAGTCTTCACGCAACAGGGACTAGATGGTTAGTAATCTGCTCAAATCACAACCATCAAACCCAGGTTAAAATAAATGCTAGTGAGATATTTCTTTAACCTTTGCTGTTTCTCTTTTAAACAAGAACAAGTCAAAGGTATAATACCTGGTTCGCAAGATAGAGCCCCCTTTATTTAGCTAAATATTTATCCAAATATTTTTCTTGATTTTACTAAAAACCTAATTTGGTGTTGCAAGAAGCACCAGTTACCACATCAGGAAATGTACCATCCGATGGTGAACAGCCAGCTACCAACTCACCTCAGTGTGCAAAAACCTTCACAGTCTCTTTAAATCATGTTGAGAACTGTTTGTAAGTGCAGTGGAGTTCTGAGATGTCCATGTCCCCATTCAGATTCATTCCTTAGGTTTGTTGGCCTAATATTATTTGGGTCTTGGTTATAAATTCATTTAAGTGGTCAAAATCCGGTTAATCAGAAGCTTCTACAGCGTCTCTTTGTGTTTCTGCTTCCTACTCTCGAAAGACGACGGACCTCCACTGCAAAAGGCGCTGTCCTCTTTCCCTAATCGGTAAACTAGCGAAACCTCTCTATACCCTAATTCAAGGAACACTGAAATCCCTACTTTGACCATGCATTTGGTGGCCACTTAAAAAAGATGAATCTCTGGATTTATTGGACGCTCGGTTTCCCATCCACAACATTGGTTTCCTTCATTTTAAACATAGTTAGTAGCCAATTGCACTTTCAATATATGACTAGCAGTGCAAGGCAATTGTAGATATTGTATCTGTCATGCAAACTCCACTGCGTGGGCTGCCTCCACCATGAAGACCTACCTCTTCGGCCAGGTGCGCCAAGCGGAAAAAGACCTGTTGGCACCATTCGTAGGTTTGAATTGCTCACGGCTGCATGCATCGCCGATTGTTTAGGGCTGGTGGTACTATAACTGAATTGCGGCTGTAGGTGATACATTTGCGTGATGTTGCAAAACTGGTTTGACCTGCTCGTTTCGGCACCAGCCTCTGGTACAGGGTGAGGATGCGGAGGTGGTGGTGGTGGGAGGTGAGGTGGAACCGCCTTGTTGTACACTCGACACAGAGCGTTCCGAAAGCCCTCCGGTTTGGGTGCCCTGGGATGGTCCAAGAGGCCACTGCCGGCTTTTGGCTGTGGTGAGTTGTCCTGGCTCGCCGTAGTGCTCCCCAACGACGACAGCACACTCCTCTCGTCCTCCATTTGAGACGGCTCATAGCCGGGCTGAAAGAAGAATGTGTGCTTTGCATAAGTCTTAAAAACTGTCAGTGTCTTGTGCAGTTAGAAGTCAAAGATCAAACCTGTTGCATGATCTCCGATGTCGACATCGCTCACTGTTCTTACAGAGGCTCGTATTGTGTAAAGTCGAGGTGAACATTTAAGTAAGTTACAGTATAAAAGACAGGACTCCGTGTGGTAACATACTGAAATCTCACCCTTCTGCTTGGCATATATGTGTTTCGGTGGACGATAGCAGATTATACAAGACCAAGACTAAAGTCAAGGTGCACTACCGCCGATTCTAAATCCGTGAGGAGCCATCCGCGTAGTCTAATATGAAGTCATTTAATTTTCCTCACTTAATTTGCTTTAATTCACTCAATAAGGTTTTTCGAGCAGATGCACTCTCTTCAATCGTCACACTTTTCGTGCAATTCCTACTGCGGCTACCTTAATAGGAGCAACTGAACCGACTGGTAAATTTTCACTTCTAAATATGTTTCATCAGTATTTTCATCACACGAGAATTACTGTTCTTTGAAATTTTATGTGATAATCAAACACCTGAGTCAACACTATGGAACATTAAACTTAGAAAACCAATTAATGAGTTATTCAAGCATATTCCTTCCTCACTCACTTCGTACACTGACAAGTTTTAATAAAACGAAGAAAAGTTACCAAACGTTAGGTTGAAATTATTTTGAAAAAAAAATGATTTCGGACTTGTCATTGTGATTTACACTTACCTGATAAGAGGGCTGCATCCTGTTCATCTCCCCAGACTGCAATGAATACAGCGGTGGACTGGAGCCAAGACCGTAGAGGTACTGCGTGAAGGCCTTGTCTTCTCCCCGGTAGTCCTGGCCCGTCTGTGAGAAGGGGAGATTCGGAGAGGGGTGAATCGCATTTCGAAGATCACCTGCTGGGCCTCCGCGCTGAAGCATCAGAAGATTTGTGAGCTGATCCCTTCCGAGGTCCTCGGACTGGTGGTCTGCAGTCACTTCCTAAATTGATAGTTGTGTCAGCATTTCAACAGGTCCTATGAGTGAGTACAGTTGTAGCCCAGATGAAAATAATGTTCCCTTAAATTTGTCGTTGAGGCTAAACTGGGCTCTATGCGATTCGACAGGCTAACTAGCATTGTAGCAAGGGTTAAGAAATCGTCGTTATGGATTTCATTTTGTTCCAAGCAGACACCAGAATATAACTCATGAAAGTCTATTCCCGAAAAATCGAGATTCCTCTGACCCCTCATTAATATTGGGCAGTAGTATCCCACAAAACCACCTCCTCAAGTTATTCTTTGGTGTTGATGTTCAGCTCAAGACGTTAACTTAATGGTTTTCATCTGGCCGCTGTACGATTTCTGAAGTTGATGAAATCTGGCTTAAAATTCGATGCACAATTTAATATGTGCGGATTGGTGAGAACCACCACGCTCACTGATAATTTGGTTGGCTTCGCAACAGGCGACACTGTCGAGTTGATGAAATTTTCCATTTTCGCCTACGGTTCAAAGTCGACTTCACTACAGCAAAGCAAAAAATAAGCAGCTTACGGCGGTAGTGATGCTGCTTCCGGAGAAGGTCTTCGGAAACATGAGGTCCCCGAGGGTCTCGTACACTTCATTGGTGTACATGCTGGTGTAACGGGCCAGTTGTGAAGCGCCCATCATCATGGAGGAGGCTGTTAGGAAGGAGCTGGGCTCGGTCCTCGAAGGATCCGCTGATGGTGGCTGGTCAATGGAAGAGGTGTAGGTGAAGTCGGACGATGTCGCTGCCTTGTCGCCGGGAACACCCGAGCTAAATCCACTGAAAGATTGCAGTGGTACGGTGGACGATGGAAAATGTGCTGGCTGGTCAAATGGCAGTCTGCGATCGGAAGGTTCAATAAATTTCTGAAAAAAATTCATCATGCGATTTATTCCGAAATTTCTTGCTTTATTAGTCGAAATTTTCATGAAAAGTACAGCATACAAGTCAGGGTACTACTCCCATTAAAATTCACCCAAACAAACAACACAAACCGCTATCGAAAATGTACTTTTGCTTCTGTCAATTTGATCATGTAAGCTCGCAGACTTTTAGCTCGTGACCACAACCAAAAAGTTATGGTGGTCAACTGGATGGCAAGCGAATTCAATTTAGAGGCTAAAATTTCGGTGATCCAACTGCAATTAAAGAGAGCAAGTTAAAGAAGATTGAATAAATAAGACTAATTTCTCAGAGGTTGAGACAGCACGAGGGGTTGCACAAGACGCCCTCAGTTCCACTTACCTCCATTGATTCAGTACAGTATTAGTAGTCAAATGTTTGTGTCCGGCGGCAGTTTACGTGTGCGCGTGTGAACTTAGTGCCTTGCGGGTCAGCCTTGAGCAACTCTCGCTCGCTCCAACTCAACAGTAACTATAGAATGCGTATTTTGTTTGCCAGTCAGTTGAGCACTTTACTGTGCTTGTGGGCGATTTCATTTGCCGCCAGAGGCGATTCTTGCCCCATAGAGCCCCAGGCATGTCTTCGCCATGTTGATTGGTCATCACACCCGCAACCGCGACGGGGTGTTAGAGTCGACCTATTACTAACTCGCATCCCCCCACATGTGCGTGCGTACGTGCGTACGCAAAAATCAGTGACCAATTAAAATTCACTCATTTGTTTGTCCATTACCATGTAACTAGTCGTTAATTAGGCGTCAACTTAATGTGGGGGTGAGAAAATGTGTTGACAAAATAAAATCATGTTTCTTCGACTCAAGAAGAAAATTTAGTGAGGAAAAATTTTCGAAAGCCCATAACGCTAACTCCGTGTGCCAGCCGAACACAATTCGGAACGTTGACTCGATTTGTCACTCAAAAAGCAAGTCGACAATTTTGATAGTCTCGCAGTATCACAGAAAGTGCAGCGGAACCTCTGATGATAATAATCACAGCAAATAACATCTACTTAGGATCCTTCAAAAATGGCTAACAACTCAATGCGGCTTACATTTGTCAATGAGGTGCTGTAATAAACCAAAACTTCTAACCGACACCCATTAAAGATGCGTTTGAAAGCAAATCAAGTGATAACTTAATCGTTTTATATCACTTTATTTGCACACAAGATAAATTTTTCTGGCCTGATATGGTAAATTATAGTTAAAGTGGTGGCAACAATGGTGTTACCGCCAAATTAGAAGTGCCTTGGTCTCATTGGTCCCCGACTTTTTCTTCAAGATATAAAACAAAAACGACGACATGCTTTTGCAAAAGCTGAAAAATACCATGAAGGAACTATCTGCATCTTTCACATAACAGTGCCCTGGTTCTATTATCGTGCATCTGACTAGCTGCCACCCACTCATCTTTGATGGAAGACAATAACGCTTGATCGTTTTAATAGAAAACTGATCGAATAACACCAGTCATCTGTGCTTTCTTCTCAGAATTGCTGTGCTGGAAGTTTCAGGAACTCGTTTGCCCCCACTGTCCTAACGTCATCAATTCATATCCTGCCGGTCTATACAGCACTTGCAAAGCAGTCACTTCGGTGGATGCATGAAGAATGCCGCAACATCCACTCGAAGTTCACCTAATCGCTATACGACTCGTCTTCCTCATACGCTTCCAATCCGATTAGTCATGTGGTCCTCTAATATTACTGGAACACAACTTGGTTCAAGTTGACAGGCTTGAAGGCAACGCAGGTGTTACGATGACTTCCAGACAAAACCAAACATCCCCTCTGCAAACAACTCGTGACTTCTCCTTGAGTTTGTGTTGACCGAAGCTTGTGTTTTGAAGGAGGTCGACTCCCAATGTCCACTTATTCGAATTTTCGCCAGATGGCACTGAATTGTCTTCACAAGAATAGACCACATAGAAACAACGAAATCGTCTGAAGTGTCGAATTACGGGTAACAGCACAAGCCAGGCGTCACTTAACGTGAGGTTTTAAACTGACTCACTACTCTAGCCTCCCATCCCAAAATCAGAAACTCCACAATTAACTCAATCCTCAACATTAATTTTTGCAAATTTGGGAGGAAATTAATGAACGGGCAGCAACAAAATTAGCTCAGCACTCAACTTGGGTAAGGCTGAACAGCGGAGAGTGCCATACTAAAATATTTTAGATCCTCATGCATTAATGAAGCCCTTAGCACACACACCAAAAAAAGTTCAGCTTTTTGAATTCCTCTCTAGTTGGTGTCATTATTAAAGTCTTATTACAACTTTTGGTATTTCGAACTATAAAACCTATTACCCGTTAAATTAGATTATGACTGTTTACATGAAGCTTAAATGTCTTTACAATAAGGCTGAATTGCCGACCCCACATTGATTTTCCGCTCTGCTAAAGAGTGAGGAAGCAAGCAAATTTTCTTGTAACTCACGAGGATCCCATTGTGCCATTTATGTATGGCCCACCACAATCGATCTAACCATCTCTTCCTAAAGAGGTCGTGTTGTGCTCCCGTTTTGTTTGTCGTTAAGTGTCACTGGTGTGATGGTTACGTGGACGTTTAGTTTATTTTGTAGAGAAGAAGGATATTCCAACACAGAAAACCTAAATTAATGACATAAAATTTTACCTTCGCCTGACACGCGATCACATCGTTCTAGAATGGAATGAGACCCCTCGTAGTGAACCAAATTAACTTCACTTTGATGAACCAGGGTATAAATAGGGGAATAATATAATTTAATCTGTTAGCTGTTAAACAGAGGCGCGTTGATGCAAGCGCTGTGGCAATTGAGGACACTGTTATGCTAATTTTGCTCCGGAAAGAGATTTCCTCACTGTCATTCTCAGGGGAATAGAGCACACTCATTAGATCAAGCACTGCCTGAGGCAATGACAGCTAACTACCTCAATCATATTTACCTTACTCGTCACCACCTTCTTGTTAACTTAAACCCGTTTCCTGTCATTTAGCCCAATTAAGATCTTCCGGTATAAGCTGTAAGTAGCCTCAATCTTTACCGCTATTGAATCAGGAAGACTTCAGAGGTGTATTTAAGATTCCCCGCACTCTGAAAAGCCAGCAGACTGGATGAAACTGAAACATGATTGTAATGGTCTTCTTGTTTTGAAGCGTGGACAAATAGACCTTTCTGTACCACTTTGACTTGTAAAAGGATAATTTTGTACACATCCATCTGACTTTATTTTGTGGATATTTTATAAGCCAGACAATATGAACACTTTAAGCCAAGAAATATGACACCAAGGCATCCTACGGTCATTTTAGGTAACAATTGTAAGCATTAGGCAAGTAAGAACGGAGACTGTGCCATAAAGGTTACACTTAAAAAATTAAACGATGTTACGCCCTCCGGTTAGTTCGCGGAGAATAAATACACTACGTCTTTTGATAACACGCTTCAGGGTGGCGAGGTATGTCCCACTTGTGCAATTGGCATCCGATTTATTGCATTTGATTTAACAACTGCTCATGCGGTAACAAATGAGGCAATGCTTCTTCTGCTGCACACCCAAATTTTTACCTTTGTGGTCTTTGGAATTAACCATTTCACGGGTTCGTTTAGCTTTCACATCTTAATTATTCCGACCAATTGATTTGGTACGTGTACTCTCCACCTGGTATGCATGAAGTAGTGCGTGTTTAGGCCGTCAGATTTGCTCGGGCGAATGTGAAGCTACATTTTTACATCCTCCCAACTCACTACCGACGTAGCTGAGAATAGTCACTCAAAAAGATGACATTTCTGATTACAGTATGGCGGCTCCCAGCCAATCTCTTCGAATAAGCATCTGAATAAATTAGGGCTTAGGATTGTAAATGGCCTTCGGAGCACTTTTATTCCGAGATGCAGCCACCAGTGTTCGTCAAATTACCACAAACCAAAACCAAAGCTGCATTCCACTAGACCAAGTTACAAGCAATGTTGCCTTTGTAAGCTTTTTATCTTGATGCGAATGGTATACATGAGGTCTTATGCTCAAGATCACTCCGCAAATTATCCAAGTTAATTTACAATACTAAGTAACTCATTTAAACGAGGGTGAATGCTGAATAACACCCTCTGAATTCAAAAAGGTAAGGGCCACAGTACGAAAAAATAACGTCTAAACTTGACACTGCATGTTGGCACTAGATTTGTTAGAATGTCATTGTGACTTTACTTGGATCCAAGTAAATATCATGTTCGAATATTTGTGTCTAGAAACATTCGTCTTAAGTATTCATGGTTTCGAGATGTTACATATGCAATTAGCTGTGGATGAAATTTCGAAACTCATTAAAAAATCTTTTCTATTCACTAACATGCTACTCACAAGCTGCATTGGTTTCAGACTGATTTTGCACTCTAAGAAGGAAGTCTCCGTTGCCTTCACCCCCGGCGAGTCTCTACTCCCAGGATAATTGTCCTTGAAGTGGTCTACAAAAGACAACGCCTTGAACAAAGGTGCCATTGATGTAGTTGATGGGCCAAATGGCCTGAACCTGTATGTACTATCCTTCGTAGATGCTACTAACAGAGAATACTGACTTTGGGGAATCGAAGGCGGTTTAAATTAACTTAAACCTTGGTCAAAACTGTATGGAGACAGCAAGCCAAGTGGTTTAGATGACCAGATTCTGCAGACTCCACAAACCACAATCTCCCGCTTTGCTCCGTTTTAGACAACAAATGTGGCCTCTGACCTCTGCCTGCTGTCGGAATCCGATAATTATACGTTGCATGAAAATCGTCACTTTAAGTCCTCACTCCACCTCGTGAAATTAGGGGTTGCGTTGAGTTAATCTCACAACTGACCCTTTTTCCATCACGATATATTTACATGAACATGTTGAGTAAACTGGCTTCAAATTTTAGGAAATCGAAACAAGGCTTGCTTCGACGATTGTAAACGCATTCATAGACAAAGCCCTTTGGATGAATATCGTGTATCAGTATTTACCAAAAAATGCTAGACATGCAAAAGTGGATATTGCGGTTTCAATTAGCACAAACTCACGCATTTACGCTGCAGTTTCGCCCTGTCCGCACCGGAGGTGCCTTTAACTGTAATCGGCAACTGAACCGCCTGTAGGCCCACTGGATGCTTTCGATACTACTTAAATTCAAGTAGCTAAGAGTATATTCATTATTTTTGGTAGGAATATTTTGTCCTAAAGTTTAAATCCGTCTGTTTTAAACCCATTTTTACAGATCGAACGAACATTTAGATTTGCCTGAAATACTGCTTGTTAATATTAAATAAGTGTAGCCTACATTAACGACAAAAGCGTCGTGGCTAACTCACGAAAATGGGCGATTTGTGACAGCATTTCGACAGCCGACCCCAATTGTATCTCGCAGCGTCGAACTTTGATTAGAATTTTAATAGCACGTGACTATTATCTGCATTAAGTGGCACCTCCATGAGACTTAAATGTTTTTCAATCCTTTAAAATTTCAAGAGAAAACAAAAACGGTTTGTGCAATCCGATAATTACATGTTTGTCCCATCAGATAAACCGTGAGCCATTTTAAGCCTTTAATGATACATTCGTTAGAATTATGATATGATTTTAAATGCAGATACTGTGCGCTGGGAAGAAGACATATTCATTTTGGAAAATCAAGATCTAGCACACATACCACAGAATACTGAGACGACTTCGAAGGATTTCGTTTCTCAGTAAGCTACCTGGAAATCAAGTGTACACAATTATTCTTTTAAGGCTTGTACATGCAAGATACGCTTCTGTACTTAATTGAAAGTTGTTGAGTGAACCTGGCAGTTTTGCGTCCCAAGGCGCAATTTTGCATAGGAACGCGTACAACGTGTCAAATGCTCTCGTGCACTCGTGAAACGTTCAGGGAATGGAGTGCCATCTTTGCAGACAAAAGAGGCGTTTTAACTTAAGTTATGCTGTGTTCGAGATACGATAACACGTCTGTAGTAGTAGACAATCCTTGCTTACAAGCACTGTGATTTTACTAATAATGCAGAACAGAATTGTCAAAATATGTGTGAAGCTGATACACGCTGACTTGACCGAACCGAAAAATGTTAACTGGTAAGTCTTGCGACTCCTAAACACAAATAATTGTCATTTAAATCTTATACGCAATCTGGTTTCACTGAACTTTAAACAACCATAAGCCAACATTATTTTAATCGGAGATCAGTTCTGCAAGTGGTTTGTCTTGTCGTAGGTCTCAGTTACTTTTCGTGCACCTCAACTTTGCCCCCAAAAATTTGGTGCTGCATGTTTCCTTCAAGCACACACGTACACACACATGCTGCACTCAAGTGCGCGCACATGCAGTGGTTCGTTTCTGTAACAGAGCACTGCCATTCCTACTTTTAAGGGCGAAAATTCGTGCTTTATTTGGTTATTTAAATGCTGCATTGAGAGCACCGGTAAGAAGACATTCAGAGGTGAGCACACCCCTTGTCCATTTGGCCGGATTAGATTTTTACCCAATCTAACAATTTTGATGGTTGGGGATGATGAAGATAAACTGGGATAAACTGGGGCCCAGCCCAGAAATGTCGGTCATTTGGCTTAAATTTTGCTTCAGTGTTGGCGTTGCAGGGTAACCATTCGATGATAATCGGATTAATCGAGCGGACGTTAGTTGAATCAAAGACTTATTAAGGCGCCTTCCAGGTTTTCCAAACTACTACTTTTTTTTCAATATACGTTTGGACGCAAACACTGCTTAATATAAAAAAAGTAAAAATATGATTAGATGGTCCTGTTTATTTTTGGTTCAGCAGTTGCCGGAGGTAATATTGCTTGGGCCAGTTTATATGGTAGCTGGATCTTCACTAAACACAAGACAAATTATCTGAGTCAACTTGTGTAGCTACCATTATTAGTGTAGAAATGTACTATCCAGTCGCCGGTACCAAAAAAATTCTACGAGCGATGGTAAGGAAATGCCACGTTTTATAAAATTTAAAAGTAACCAAAATGTTGATTTGAAGAGCATTTCATTACGACTTAAAATGACATATCGAGAATACACTCCTTTTTAAGTTTACACAATGTTTTAATGTCCTGAGGTGAGAAAAAATGATTCAATTAATAACCTCAATAACTTTTCTCCGATTAGCATCATCAAATAATGTCAACTTTGAAGTGCTACTTAAATATTTGAGTAGTAAATAAGTATTTGCTATATGGACCATCGAAAACTCCGCTGTTTTTTGGACAATAATTTAAAGGCAGGGAAAAATGATGCAGTTAACCACAATAAGAAGCGTTTTCCCTACATTTCACAATGGTCCTACACCTCATCGAAACCCACTCCCAGGACCAGTCGTGTTGATGTGGATTGGTATTGCCACCTCATCTGGCAGCACAAAAGCATACCACAATCTGAGAATGTCTTCTCTTTTCGGTCGAGGACTGAAAACGTCTGCGGGGTCGATGGTCGGTATCGATAATCTCATGAAATGGGAAGGCTAATAATTTGCATCTGGCTTTTACTATCCGTCTGTTACGTGCAAACCGATCGTGGGAATTGGGAGCTGAATCGGCTCACTTCAAACTGATGTATTCAGTGGCCTGAGGCATCAGAATGAAGCCAACAGAAGTAAACACTTGTTCTTCCTCTGTATGCATTATTGCCAGAAACTGGAGGACGTGGGACACGAGTTCGCTCACCAAGTGGCCTCTTATCGAAGCAATTGAGTCACGCCTCAATTCAATATGCACCTTGCGCCTGAAAATACAGCACAACTCGACGATGCATCGGTGCACGCAAGAATCGCGAATTCGTCCAAATGCTGTTCTGCGTTTTTTTCCGGCTTGATTGCTCACCTTCACTTAAGTGGCTGTTTTATGTGATAGCATTTGATTGTGAAATGAGAAAGATCGTGGGGCTGCTGAACCCAAATAATCGCTAAGAGCACACCAAATTAAGGTAGACTTTGTTGGAATTTCGATGGATTTTACACAGCAGAATCATTAGACTTAAAGGGGACGGATTAGGTGTTACTTGTAAAGGTTTTAAATTCTTCCACCGATCGCTTGAATTGTTTGGTGAATGAAGCCACAGCATCGGTTTGTCAGTAAGCGGTGGGTTACAGGTGTCAGCTCGTGTTTGTTCAGCGACGTCGTGACCTCACAAACACCCGTGTCGCCTCACCTGCGTGCCCGGTTATCTAAATCAGCCGCCTATACATGGCGCCGTTCTCTTCCCGTCGTTCTCCCGATGACTGCCTCAGCCCCCGGCCTGAACGCCGCCTTTTGAACTCAAACGCAATCCACCAAATTGAACAACTTTTCCACTGTGCTCGCGTGTGTGCGTGTGTGCCAGCGCATTCCTCTTACTGCGACAGCCAATGTGGTAATTTATGATTCACACGCAGTTAAAAAGTTACGTAGAATCCTTGGAATGTCATCCTCTTTTCATGAAAATCGGCAATGCTTCCTTGCTTCCTTGGGCAAATAAATCACCTGCAATTAATTACGCTTTTGGTAGACCAACCACTTTTTGACAAAGTGACCCAATGCATCTTTATATTTCTACCCTGTTTTCATTTTGATGTCAAAATGCACCGTGTTCCTTTAGAGGCAAAAGTTGTGCAAATGACAACTCTTTGATAAATAAAAAATAAGCTAGAATTTCTCCACTTACAACTCACAAGCTTAACTGATCGCTACACACCCCCTAGTTGACAGACTGTTCTTTAAATAAGACTTCTAGTTATCAAACTTTACCAAAGACATATTGGATTAGACACTTGGAGCTCTTTTCGTCACGCGATTTTAGAGCCTGAGACCCACAATTAGTGGTTTAGGCGTCACTTTTAATCGATTAGTGGTTCACATCCTGCCTCAGATGGTAAAAGCAATAGTTAAGCTTGAGGCCACGGATGTTAGTTGCCTCACCTCCCCCACCCACTACCACCACAGCCTAAACCAAGTCGGGCTTCGTCACGGAGTTCGCCCACTTCCCTCCCCCTTCCCACCTAAGTCAAATGGCCCTCTCAGCCGGGTGGAGCACGCAACCAACCGATCGATATTCTCGGCTCAGCTCCGTTAGCCAAACTGATGCACATCTCTTAAGGCGTACTTCCAAGAGTGTAAGTAAATAAGTTAAACCATAAAATCACAAACTGTTTACAAGACTCAGTTTGTTGTTACCTCAAAAAAACTAGAAATTCCGGATTATTTCTTCTTTCAATGAAAGCATTAAAATGTAATTACAGAAAATAGACCTTGGAAACTGACTGGTATGAAAGCGATCAATTAGTCAAGTCAGTTTATTTTTAGGAATCGAAGTATGGCCACATCTGCAATGAACTAATTGCCACAATTTTACAACAAGTGACAGAGAGGCCTGAATATTTTAGGGAAGGTGATACTACCTACATGTTAACTACTACCCACATAGAACTTGTACCCTTAACACAATTAACTTAATTACTGCCATCGATTTCTTAGTATACCCAAATGTTAAATTATCCTGCTAAACACCCTTTATTTGGCGAGTACACCGAAATTAGCTTGCCTTCACTTCAATTATAATTAAATAAACTTGGTCACTACAATTCCATTGTTTTTCAGACCCATCCAATAAAAATCAAGTCCACTCTGAGGCCACACCTGATCAATGTCACTCAGCGTGCAAATCCATTGATGCCTATATCGGATGCCTTTAAGTTGGTCACCGAGAAAACATAATACAAGACAGACCTATAAAGCCGTCCCGTAAAAAAACAGCGAAAATTCAACGCATAGTTTTGGATTGCAAACGGTTTTTCGTTGCCTCTTTTTGATTGGTCAGTGTAACTATCACGCGTCTTCTGTGTACCAATGAGATCATTGTACCACTCGGCGTCGTGATTGGGCCAGGTTGAAATGGCACATCAACATGCTTCCAAGCCTCGCCTCACTTGCTCAGCTTGGTTATGGCAAAGAAGGCGCGGTCGGGTTCTCGAAGGAAGCGCCAGGGCCGCCGGAGTAGCGACATAAATCAATGCTTAATCCGACTGAAACGAATGGTTCCTACAGCCCGCGGCCACACGAAAATAAATAAATTGGAATTACTGCAGCACGTAATCGACTACATACAGGACCTGGAAATTACGTTGGAGGAAGATCACCTCAGACTTTCGTCTATATCTGGTTCCCCCCATTCCGCACAGCTGCCAATATCAGTAAGCAGAAGTTTGCTCGAATTTTTGAAACTGCGTTTTACAATCTGAGGGAACGGAATGTTCCAAAGACCAATTTATTGTTGATTTTTGGGCTTTAAAAAAGATAAGCCATAGGGGTCGTTCGTACATTCATTAATCCAGTGAACATAAACGTAGCACAAGCATACGTGGACGCACCGTTGATTTCTTGATTCTAGATATGGCCAAAAATTTGCAGTGTAGTTGGAGGTGTTTTGCAGGGCATCTCGCCTTTGTTTACGATTCGAAGCCCTAAAATATATATATGTCCTCTTTTGCTGACTTCTTACTTGGCACGATTTCCCGTCGTATTTAACGTAGGATTTCTAAGCCCAGGCTCCTTGGGGTTTCTCTTCCCAAATATTGGCAAACAGTTTTCTCAAGATGCTCCCCTTCTGGTGTGTTTCTATTGTGAATTACAGACTTCGCAAGAACGTGAGTGAATCAATTCTCGTGTTTTTGGGGTCAGACGAACATGTCAGCCACGCACAATTCCGTTGGGAAAAATGGTGAAGAGTTGCCCGCTCTCCTTCCTATGTTGGCTTTTGTGCCTTAGTTTCTAACTGGGCCTAGGTGTCTGCCAGATATGACGGAAAGTGTTAGGTCCCGCACCAACAATATCAGGGTTCACGGTGCATGTGAGACCTGACGCACCTCCTGCTCCTCTTTCTTACGGTGCCGTCTTAGAGCTGCCGTGGATTCTAGCGCTCCGTCCGTAGATGAAGCGCCTGATACTCGACGCATTCTTGGCTTTTATTACCAATAAGCCTACTTAGAGACCTGTACAAAGGGTACGTGTGGAAGTTGGGCGACCTTATTTCGGTCCGTTACTGTCATAAGACAAGCAGATAATTGTACATTCAGAGGCGGATATCAATTTGGGAAAATTCAGGTGGATTGATGCGGATCCGTTTGTGTGTGACATCCTCACGTAACACCTTGTGTTCCATTTTAGACTCAAACTTGTTCGGACACAACATGATTTCAACTGATCGAACCTCCCTATTTGTACATAGTTTGTTCTCTTCATCGCCCAGACTATCATTTCTTTACGGTACCTCCTCAATGCGTATTTAATAAATACACAGAGTCAACTTCTTGTTTTTGATCCAGTTAGTGTGGAACGGATCTAGGGCTTGCGTTGCGCCTTACACATATGCCCCTCAAAAGATCGTTATCGGGACATCGTTGTTGTGGTAAATTTGCTCCCCATTGGCCGTAAAATGCACCCTCCCAGCGGGGCAGTGTTTGATGCGGAACACAGCTAACCCGTCATTCTAAGCAAAACTCATCCTTACGAGGGTCACAAGTTGCGAAGATGAGTTCATTCATGAGGTAACTTGCGCATAAGTGGTGCGCACACTTCTGCGGAAGTGATTTAGTTTCGTTGACATTGTTGCCAAGCTGAAGGAATCGAGATGCACTCAACCTAGACTGGTTTAGTCAAGTTCTTATAATGAGCAAAAACCTCCCAGAAGGCTAGTTTTAACCCAGTCGCTCTTGGCGACCGAATCATTCAGGAAAAGCATATGCGTTTTGTAGACTTACACTTCGAAGGCACGTAGTAAATCGGAGCGACGTTGTTGGACGCCTTAAGTGGGATTGGGTCACCGCTTATCGGTAAAGTCAGCGAGTTAGTTCACGTTAGACCAAATTTTGCTCACTTACACAGTGCATTAGCTATGTGATACGTTCCTTCTCGGGTTTTCAGAGACAAGAGTCAACCCGTCCAAAGATTTCTCCCTGAAAGACAAATGAGTTCGAGTCATTAAAAAATGCCTCTATGGCTAGCGATTGCATAGGCCGAAATATTTCATGTCTTACAGCAATCACTCAGGGGGTCGAGTAATAAGGTTTCGAGTCGCCCCGGATGCCTAGTTCCTAATTCATCCCAAGGAAAGAGAGAACTGGGTTTTTCGAGGTCAGAGCTTTAGGGGAATTATCAGGCCTTCCTGATTTAGTAATAAACCTCGATGTCTATGACGCCTGTATTTTTGAAAGTAATTCCCCGCTTGAGGTGCTATGAGCATTGACATTTCGGTGGTCAACTAATGCGCATAAGTGATAGTAGACAGCCCGTTGTCTTAGGGGACGCTTAGATGAGAGTCCAACTGTAAATGTGCTTCTGCTTCTGAAGGTAGCGAGGACATGTGTACGTGGCCACCTTGTGGTCCGCAGTAACTTCATGATCAATCATTCATGCACATCGGCAAAATAAAAATTACGCGGATTATCATCGTAGCTCTGTTCTTTCCGTGTGGCCAGTCGTCATGTTTATGTTGCATCCTCGTGCCGTTCTACGGAAGAGGTCGAAATTGGAGGACTAATTTTGTTGGCACGACTTGCACCAACCGGGCGCATCGACAGAAGTCTTCAAGTACAGCTCACGCAAGGCGCTGAGAACCACTCTGAACTGCGCCATTTGTCGGACTGTTTAGCGAAAGATCTCCGCTGGCCATGGTCCATGTCTAAGACATTGGCTACGGAACTCGATCCTGACATCCCTGGTTTTAGGACTATTTTTCGCTCTAACAATTTCACAGGGCACAGCCTCAGCTACCCTTGGAGCGGAACCTACTTCAACTTGGCAAACGTCTGATGGGCTCTTGCCTGTATGATGAGAGTCTGGGTGGCATCTCACTGACGCAGGTACGGAACACGGTCCAATCGATCGGTGGAGGCCACCTGGAACCCGCCACCCCCGTGTGCAGGTGTGATCACGAGTGTGGGCGGCCACCTGCACCCGCTGGAGGCGGTGTCGGTGTGGGTTAGGGGTGGGGCAGAGGGGGAGGAGTCCTGTCTAAACACGAAATCCTGTCCGTCAGGAGACATCACATCCAACACAAGTGCCGTCTTTACTGCGTAAATCGGATCAGATTTCGTCCGTCTAGACAGGTAAATCAAAGACGCAGTTCCCCAAATTAGCTTGTTTAGTAGACAAACCTCTTTATTGAGCCTGACCGAACAATGAGCTAGACATAGCTGCCAAGACCACCCAGGTTGAGCAAGTATCTGGACCTGGTACTTGGGGATGCAGAACGAGGTGAAAGTGTGGAGTCTACCACTAGCAGGCGTTTCGTGAATCCAGCCCTACTCGACACATTTTCGGGCGCCTAAAATCCGTCAACGATGACCGTAGGGAAAAGAAGAAGCGTCAGTAAACATCCGTTTAATTCAAGTAATCACACTGTGTTCATAAGTACCGACTCTGAAACTAAGGGCACCTGCGATGCGTGCTTGAATCCGCGAATAAAACATCGCGCTTTTTAGCCTCGTTCTCATTCAAAGCCGAACTCACATAAGGCCATCGTTCATCCACTTCGCCCCACCGACATCGATAACTGGCAGTCTTGCGGATATCGAATAATAGTAATAATAGTAGTGATTATGTCATCCAGAGCAACCAAAACTCATTAAGATTCGATGGTTTTATAAGACCGACTTACAAGTGAACAGGTCTTAAAGTAAGCAGTTCTCATGGTAGTCAGGCCCTCAATCAGCATATATATCGGTAGAGAGAGAATGATTACACACAAAGAAGGCAACGAGGACGTGTACAAATTATTTGTCCAGTAAATGAATTATGGTTGAAGTCGCATTCATGCAGATGATGCATCGGAGTCGAGATGTCAATAAAACAATAAATAATTTTTTGGCTAGAATGTACGAGTTAATCACATTGAATTTGACAGGCTGCGATATAGTCCACTTACGAAGGCCCTCCTTCAAGCGTAAGGCATTCGGAGACGTCCCTCGTGTTCAACTCTGGCAGTGCTGTAATGAGCTTGATCGAATGCGGAAATGCAGCCAGTAAAGTAAGTAAAGTGGAGAAGCAGTTTTATGAAGACACTTTTCAGGCGCCTGCAAGGTGGATGCGGGGATGAACGCTGGTGGATGGGAGGGTCACAACCTTCCAGGTGAAAGTCCGTGGTCACGGTAATGGCAGTGCTCCACTTTAACACTGCACTCTTCAGAAAACTGATAATGCATAATCAAACTTTGTCCACTGGGAGTGGGTGGATGTTTTGCCTTAACGTAGAGAATCCTCCACTTCCTCAGAGTTACTCTAGTAACTATTCATAAATACCTAGCGTTTTGTTCAATGTCGTATTTCGCAGTGTTAAATTAATGTTTGTGAGCAAATATTACTCGTGGACACATTTTACTTGGACGTCTGATAGTGGTTTTCCATTATTACGGTTTTTACTAAAATAGGGGATAGTCTTGAATCTTTCAAGAAAATTCACATTAAAAGGTCGTTTTAAATTTATTATCAGTGCTCGTCAAGTTCATGTGTATTCTATACCACTTTTAAGCTATTCCACACACTATCTTTATTCGGACGTCATTAAGCCATTTGAATTTTGATGGACACGGCGAATTTTAAAACAAGTAAACACTTGATGCACAATTCAACCCAATCTGCATTGTTTTTGTACAGTAAGCCCATACAATCCTGGGCCAATTAGCGTCTATTTTTTGGAGCGGCTGTCTTATTTTCCACTTCAATTTCTTTATGTGCACTGTAATTAAAATTCGGTTATGAAGTACAATTAGCAGTTAATGTGTCAGAGCGAAGTGTAATGAATTTAATTGTCTCAAACTAAAATCTCCAGCGGGTGGGCTTAGAACTGACGTTGAGCCGTAAGCTTAGATCGGAAGATAGTGCACCTGATCGCCTAGCCAACACACCACACTGTACGTAAGTAATTGCAGCAATGAAATAGCAGCTATCAAAGCGACATGGCGGTGCTCACATCCAAATAAGAAATGCGATCACTTCGTCTAAAAAGTCAAGATTTTTGGATGGACTTTGTGAAATTTCTGAGGTGATTGTTCCCTAAATTTGTGCTGTTTCTAGACCTCATTAGTGTCTTTTTAAGATTCCGATGCAAGATGCAAGGCAACATGAATAGTGGCTCACTTTTTCCTGAAACTCCAAAAGACCTACGCGAGAATTTCCCATATGCCTCTAGAAACGATTGACAGTGGTCATAAATGAGTGACTAATTTTCGATTGACAAACAATTTCTACGTTTTATTTCGGAATGCCTGAAGTGTCCACACATCTAAAGGCTATTGAATGCTCATGCGAGATGTATAGTATGAAATTACACAACAGCTTTGCTTGATGTGAGTTCTGGGATTGCTAGTGCACTTTCAGAGAATCGTAATTATTCTGGAATTTTAACCGAACTTGTACAGTAAAAGTCAACAAAGAAAGTAGATGTTGCACCAGTAGGGTTAGTTGCAATCAACTCTTGTAACAAACATTAAGTTTGCATCATTGTGAACATAACGCGAAGAAATCCTACTTAAGCCAGTATTGGCATCTTGTCACTGACAGTGGGTAAAACTATCCTGATGATGATTAGAGGGCAAATGAACATGGCGACAGGTCAGGCGTGAGTGTAGTGATGGTGCGAATTAACGTGATCCATCGTGGCGGAATTCATAACAGCGGTGCCCACGTCCACACCACGATTGTACAATACGACTCCATAATGTGGCCGTGAGGTACATGCGGACAACATGACGAGTAAATACGAGGATCCGAATGTACTTGAGTTCCAGGCACACTATATCAATGCTGACCGTTTATCAATTTTGACGGAACCACAGCTGGTTGAAGTTATCGGTCCAAATTCAACGTAGTCTTGATTTGGGGCTCGGCCTCAATATAAGTGATTTATTCTTGGTCAAGAAGCAGAAAAAGAACTAGTAGTTGGTGATGTTCCATGCTCCTCTCAGCAGTATTTCTGAATGAAACGTTTTGAACATTGTGGCAGAGCGCCATTTACAATGAAATTATATGGCTCTGGTCTATTGATAGTTGGTTTACCTATTTCGCAAGAGGTCCACACATAATTTCTCAGTTGCGTTGTTAAAATGCATGAATAAGGGTTGATATCGGACTTTGATGGATTATGTGTTGAGTAGTTGAAGGCTTGGTGACAATAACTCGTTAAACGATTTGAATATTCGGGTGTAAATGTATACTATCTGGCAATTCATGGCGAGCCATTCCCGCTATTTCTAATGTAATTGTATATAGGAAATGTTGAATCGGTAGAAATGATATGAGGAGGCGTAGGTGCTATTTATGGATCATTTGCCAAACGTCTTCTCATGTGGTGTGATCTTTAACTAGTTTTAAGCTTTGTTCTACTAACTAATCCTTGATGCAGGCACTAACAAGTACGACCCAAATGAAAATACTGGTATTGTGTTTATCCAATTATGTAAATTTCGTGACCCTTCTTTGTTCCTACATGAACGAGCCTCAGACACGGAACCTATTAGCTTGATTTTCAGCCATAGGTATATTTATGGTCTTCAAAAAAAGCGAATATTTGACTCAGTTGTATGCAGAATTAAGGAGATCGAGATTTGGAGCAGGATAATTATAAAAATATTGGCCTCATGCTATTGACTCGACTTTCAAAATTACACCAGCTCAAAGGATCATCTCGGCTACACTAGCTAGACTGTAAAAAACCATGTGAATGCTAGTAGTTAAAGTCATTTTGGGTTAGTTTGAATGACCAGTTTTAGGGTCAGTGCACACCTTGCCAATGCATTCGATCGACGGAAAGCTCCTCTCACGAAGGCTAACTTATGTTCTAGGTTGGAAGGCTTTCATTAAATAAAACACGGTGTCACTAATAGCAGCTTCTGCGCTACACACCTTAGAGAGGATGGTGATAGAAAACCTTCATGAAAGAAAAGTAAGCTACAGGACATGGCCTGTTACTGCGCCGTGATGCGCAGTTCATGAAATTGGCGGTTTGGTGACATGATGGACTTGTCGCCATGGTACCACAAGTCATCAAGATTTTTATTTGCAATGCTAGCTCTTAATGACCTTCTCTATCTCAATAGTTGAGGAAAAATCATGCAACAGTCTTTCGGACCACTTTATTCTAATTGGCTCTGTTTTCTGCATGGTCTTCAACAATGCCCGGTGTGGGGATGAATTTCTAAGGTGACGGGTGTGACGAAATCGCAGAAACTACTGGCAAGTAGATAAATTACTCCTTCCACCTAATTTTCATTCCCTTTGTTTCGTTTAACAAAGAAAACTTCTTACTTATTTATAAACACCGAAACAAATTTTGCGACGTGCATTCTGACACGATTAACTTGAAACAAAATAACTTTAACAGCTAACTTATTTGAAAGTGGCTAACCAGATACGATTGGGGATCACTGTTGAATGCTTCGTGCGCTTAAAGGAGGATAGGCGACACCAGATTTGTGCCGGAACTTGTGTGTTGTGCATGGCAAGGGTGTTCCCAGCCATCACCGGCGTGCGAACTGTTTTGAGCGGCATTGAGATGGTGGTTAAAGGCTTGAAAGACAAAATCGAGTCTTAAGGCCTATTTGGCAGGTTTTGCTATTCCGTAGGAAGCCACTGAGTACAGGTTCTTGAGAAAGCAATTCGAGAACCAAATGAGGGGATCGGTTTCAGGAATTTAACTGTTTGCTAGCAAATTCCAAGTAAATGGAGGAATTAGCAGCTATGCACAACCTTTTCCGCACTAGGTCATCGTCAGAAATCAGGAGGTCAGGATCGTAAAAGTTTGGACAAAATTGAGATATCAGGTGAAAGATTTAGGTTAATAGAACGGTCAGATCACAAAGCTCCAACATTAAAAGGCTCGACACCACACTACTAGAATCATCTTGGAAATTCCAAGGATATCAACCATGATTTAACGTAAATGCCGTTTGGTTAAGGCCTGGCTTCATTTACGGGTGCTTGTTCACCTTAGAATTTGGGTGTTCAGCAACCTTGAATTTACACACCACAAAACTGTTTCGAGAAGGCACTTCTCCTTGCGTGTGAGTTGTTAAAAAATCATTTCTCGTAAAAGCAAATGGCTTTTAGATTGCAATTCCACTCAAATATTTCATTGCAAACTTTGTTTGACACCAAAACCAAAAGCGAATACTAATGGACCATTGGGATTTTAGATTGTCATTTTGCTTTACCAACCAAGGCACGATCTGCTCTGAAAGTCTGTCACAAAGGGCTGGTTAATCAGCGATAGCTTTGTCTGCGTCAGGCTTGAGAAAAAATCGTCCTGTCCAGAATGAGTTCCTGTTCCATGTCTGATTATGACAACGTAGGATTTTTCGAATAAGTCAGTCATTTCAAAGTGAGAGGCTGAGAAGAAAAAACTTTAAAACATGCGCTTCCAGTTTTTAGGAAATCACAGCCATTTTCCTCAACGAATGTTTCATTTTCCGTATCGCACCAAAGACCGATTGATCTAAATGGCAGTCAGATGGTTAAGAAGTTTTTACTAATAATATTTGCCTTTGTTGAAGACAGCCACAGTTGTCTTTGATACCCAAATTGTTATTTGCAACCTCGGCTAAAGCAATCTGGCTAAACGACTTCTATGACAAGAGACGCGTACCACCCATGACTTTAATTAGAATTTCGGCATTCAAATATTCGGTTTGTGAAACCTCGTCAGAGGCCCGTCACCTGAAAAAAAGTCCAAGAGACTAAATTCAAAGGCCTTTTTTTTAAAAAAAAAAAAGGCAACCTAATTTTGAGCCACAGCGAAACCGAACCTTTCGCGGCGTATTTTCTTGGTCGGGTGTCAAAGAGCATGCGAACGAGATGCTTTGGATTTAAATGGGTAAAATTACGTTTATTTAGCCAAAGCCAAGATTTGGTTGAGTTCTGTGTGAATAAGCGTTTGATGGATTGTCCTCCAGGTAAAACCAATGCCCGTAATTTCGTCCACTTAGGCGAGATTCCTCCGGAGTGGCCGTACCCAACGCGGCCGCTAGCCAGGAGTGATTCATTCGGCAGTGAGTTGGGGCACAAGTGCAGTCGGTCCGCCCCCAACACGCATCTACCTCTCCCTCATTCTCCCAAAAGCTTCAAACTGCATCTGCTTTGCATAGTAATGAGTGCATCAGGCGTGATGCTTTGGGCCAGCCGTAAAACCTTCACATCACTCTGGCTTGTTAGCCTTGAACATTTTTTCGCGGCTCAAAGAACCGCCTAATGGTGATTGTCTTGGTATACTTTATTAGTATTTTCGTGATTTCTAGGGAAAAACTAGCTGTTGCACTAAACGTGTAGCGTTTAGAAGCTGTCAGAAGTATTTGGATGTTTGTGCATCTTTGGAAATACAAATTCTACAGTAACTTAATAATGGCCCTCATATATGGGTTTTGGAAACTAACAAAAGCCAACCGTTTACGACGTGGTATGACTAAAGTAGCCATACGTTGCACTGTTCAGAGTAGGCTGAACACCTGGTTGCCTTGATCAAATGCTACCACAACCACTATTAAAACCGAATAATTGACAGTGTCGTAGATACAGATTAATTTTAGTGATGGCAGTATTCGTAGTATAGCAGCAGTAGTATTTGTATTAGGAGAGCGAAGAGAGACTTACATCAAATGCAGAGTAATTGTGAGGTGTCAATGGCTTGAGGAGCAGTTTTTAATTCGGTCCAGGCCAACTGCAGTGTTTTCAACCATGGTAACCCATTGAACTTAAATTCATGCTAAACTAACGCGTAACACCTTGAAGCTACCATAAATATTGCGAGATTTTATTGATCTTTGTGAAAAAAAAACTAAGAAGCAAATTGAGGCATTAGTTTTTTAACACCAAGTCATAATCCTGTAAATGATATTATCCTGCATGGGTTAGTTCAGGTTCATGTACCCTTCTTCAAATGTTGTCCTTCATTAGACGAGCAATATTATGGAAATTTCAGAACTCGGTGTCCTTTTGTAATTCCATTAATTATCAATATTTGACAATTTATTAATTCCCGTAATCAATTATCAAATACTAGTTCAAAAACAAAATATATTTCTAACGGAGGGAAGAGAATTAGCAAGCGTCCCAGCAGAAAATGGACTTATAAATGTACGGGAGCTCTTGAATTATGCGTGATTATGGCTGGTACGGGTTGATTTAAAATATTAACAGAATGAAAAACCTTTATCTTTGTTTTAATTATATAAACTACTGACAAATCGACTAAGGATCAACCTGATTTTCTTGGTATTACTGTACACACATTTTTGCTTCACGTCGCCTAATTTTGTAACAGTAACCCTTGTAAATCAGAAATCTGAAATGGAAAACAAAAAGGCCCAAAATAATTAGGTTCTACATCAGTAGTTTTTTTATAAAACTAATCTTGTGTTCAAATTAAAAACCCAAAACACACTAGCGTTACCGCATCTACTTCTTCGGAGTCTAACAAACCTCCTCGGTACGCTATGGACCCATTGAAATGGTATTTGAATTTCGCTGTTTGTAACTCAGCTCATAAACCCGCTGAAAACCGTTCTAATAATTTTGACGTATGTGGAACTGTCAATGTTGCAGTCGAGGCAGCAAAGATCCAACGAAATTAGTGATTACCTTAATCGCTTTAAAGTGATCGCTAGCTATACTAATTTTTATAATGGTATCGGTTTTTAAGGTACCTCTGGATCAATCACTTATAGGAGCTAAAAGCATTTACCTAGCAACAAATATGCCTCCTCTCCTAGATACACGCCAGTCGATATCTTATATGGATTTAATTTTAAAATTACGTTCACCTTGAAATTTATTTCGGTTTAAAAAAAAGCCACAATCACTCTTCAATTCAATGTTAAATGCACGTTAGTTTAGGGATGTCTGCTGGGTTCTGCATGCTACCGTGAGCTGGCATCTTCACAATTGTCACGTGGCTTAAGCACGTCATTAATATCCTTCAAAATGTTAGCGTGGGTCTGCGTTCGATAATTTGACGACCAAGCAGGAGGTTGGTTAGAAAGTTTCGAATTTGAAATTTCAACGACTAGCTTGATTTAGTCCCTTTGTGAATAGTATATTTGTACACACTTAGTTTTAATTCTGAGTTCTGTTCTGCAAAAGCATAACCTCTAATATATCCATCAAATCCACAAGATTCCGGTTTCATGTCCCTTCAAGTAAAAATCAGAAGAAACTGATAGCGATAGCTTTCCACCTGTGTAAACACTTTGTGATGAACGTAGTTGCAGCTGACCATCAATCGGCGGTGTTTGTCTCGACCCAAATAAAGACAATGACATACGTACATGTGCGAAACGATACAGCGAGGGCTTAGTAGGTGAGGCTAATGTATCGATTTGGTTTGTGACCAGACTAAACAGAACGTGAGCCTGCTTTGATTTAAACTGAACCTAGTCAGGCGTTAGAAAGCAGTCCAATCACCAGCCAGTTGCTGGAATATACATCCAGTGGAGAAGGGTAGGGGCAGTTAGTGCTTCCGGAAAAACGTAAGCCGTTCAACCAGAAATCGTGGGCACGGAACAACGTTGTGGCACTTACATGTGCTCGCTTGGTGCAACGGTGGTTGGGCGTTTCGTGATGTGGTTGCAAGTCTGCCTGATCGCCTGCAATGCAATCTTAAACCATTCGCTTACTTTTATAGTGACCGAATGGGTATTTCGGTTTCTCTGACACTGATGGCCTTGTGTTCAGCGCGGCGACGACCCAGGTAGTCGTATGACCGTTGCCGTGGCTCTGCGTCAACGCAACACGTATTTTTCAAACACGACTACAGAGAGACCACACCGAATGGCACGCAAATTATTTAACACGCAGAAATCACGTTAATTTATCTCTTGGTTGTGGGCAAGCAACACCACAACCCCTTTAAGTATTAATGTGCCATTTAGCTTGTAATAAACTATGTTATCAAATTGAGGCTTATCCTGATTGTGCTGGCCCGTTTTTAGTTTACCTTTGTAAGCCAAGCCAATTATGTGATAGCCACAGCATCCCACTTCGACGAAGCAGCCCGTGGTTCGGGTGGCAATTCATTTCATAAAACGAGATGGTACGTTTGTTATAGCTACAAAGCACTTCGACCTGGACGTATAGAAGGCACAGCTCTTAATTTGACAGGATTAATTTATTAATTACCTTTGGGTAAAAGTTGTAGTGATTACAGAAACTTTGAACGGGTAGTTACTTCAGGGCACTTATGTAGTAGCAGGCATCACAAATACTGAATTGTGTACCCTCAGGTGAAAATAATCATGCGAATACCTGAGCCTTTTTCGAGGGAAGTTCAGACAGTTTTTAAGCTTGCGATGGCAACGCGCACGGCGAGAAGTCTGGAGTTTGTGGTAAGTCGCTTTGCTTTCGCACTGCCGTCGGCTTTCAATCAACTGTCGGCCCCTCGCCTCAGCTGTGGCACCCGCATTTTAAGCGCAAAACGGTGCCAACGCAGCCCCTCCGTCTGCCTCGGCAGCCTTGAGAAAGGAGGGCCGCTCGCTGTCCGCCCCCACACCCCCCCCACAACACCGCAGCGTGAACAAACTTGTCGGCGGAAAAAGCCCCAACCGCAACATAGTGGGTAAACAAACGAATCACCCGCATCCTATTAATAAGGTGGCGTTAAAATGGAGGTGTGGGGGTCAGAGCCACAACGCCACCCTAGCCCCCCCACCAAGTTCCGGTTTATGATGCGGGCGAGGGATGTGCCATGACAGGGCTCTGCACACATTTCAAGTCTCGACCTGCTTTTCGTAACTCGGTCCAAGTTATAAAGATCCCTCAGGAATGGGTTAGTGTTAGAGTGTATAGTTCCTGCTGCTGCTGCCAAACTTGTACCTTCAAAATGCTTATGGGGACAGATGCTAAAAGCCTCTGAGGGCTCCAATTTGAGTCCCCGTGAAAAAAAAATTCACGGTCTCTGCACACAGATAGCACATTTTTGCGTTGTACGAAATGTGCAAATTGTCATATACCAAAACGATTCAAAATAAAACAGATTTTTGTGTCTAAAAGTTTACTATCCGATGCTGTGCATGTCTCTGCCTATTTTTCGTCAAACAATGGGTTAACCGGTGATACCTGTGTTAAATCAGTGACTTCATTACAAACAACTCCCCACCTCACCTTCACTTCTCACAAATTTCCGCTTTATTCCTGAAATTATCGGCTAATTGGCAAAAGATACTACATTTGTAATTGGTGACTGGAGATGGACATAATTTAGGCCTGATGACAAATAGCTGATTAAATGACCCCAGGTCCCGGAGTCGGATACTTTGTGAGGCGAAAGAAAGGCACAATGTGTTTGATAGAGCCGGCTGGCATCATCCACACATTACTTGTTCATTTGAATGCTTCTATCCAGAATATAAGTCGTCTTTGTTTCGTGAGATGAGTTTTTTACCTTCACAAATAAACACCTGGCGCATCTGTGGTCGTGCACAAGCATGTGGTTTAGAGGGGCGGCTGGCTCGAGCACGCACTAAATCGACACTTTAACTCTTAGCATACATGATATGCGGTAAACAATTCACCACGTTTTTTGAAGCTGTACATCCATCTATATCAGCAGTCATAGAGAACATTGACCGGTACTTTTAAAAAATTCGTCCAAAATTACTCATCGATTTGTTTCCAGAAAACAGCGGTACCACCTAAACTAAACGAAAGTCAGTTACGATTTACTTCACCGAAATGTGTAATTCGCAATGGATTTATTCTGCTGAAATTTGTTATTCCGTGTTAGATAAAATACTCCCTCTTACTTGGTGCTCACAGCACCATGGATCACCACTTTCATTTCGGTCATAGTGGACATTATGCTCTCCGGGGCACCGTTTCCGCTAGTTGATTGTTCCAGCAACAAGATTTTGATTGAGATGTCGTCAAGGTCGTTTCTTGCAGTTAAGTTGTTACTTTTAGACAACCGCAAAACCACCTGAAGGTGGAACTTAGTGGGAGGGGATTTGCGCAAACACTTTATTTTATACAATCAAGGACCATGTTTCCGCAGTCACATCACATTTAACTCGTCAGCAAAGCGAACCTTCCTCGGCGCAACGCAGAATGGAGAAGTAAAATGGTGTCTTCGTAACAGGGAAATGAAGAAACAAAACTGAAAGCATAGAAGTGGAAGGCCAGAAACTCTGGCAATGGCAGAATTGCTACATACAACGATCATGTTGTATTGCGTCTGGTGGGATTGCACAGGCTACTTTCACGAGGTCAAGCAATAATGAAGGAGAAGCACCATGAGAAACTCGCCAAACTGAAAGTTTGTATTTAAGCAAAACATCCGAAGTCATTCGGTCTCAAAAGCATCATCTTCCACCACGACAACGCAAGACATCATGTCGCTCATCAAGCACTGCAAAAATTTGTGGTTAAATGGAAAACCCTTGAACTTCAGATTCCTCACCCGTTACGTTCTCTGCAAAATAGTTTGAACAGTGCAAAGTTTATTCAGCGGAAGTATTCTAAAACTATAAAACGACTTTTTTAAAGAGAAACCATGCTATTGGAACAAATGAGGAATTTCGAAACTTGTAAAAGGTAAGGAAACAGCTGAAGAAAATGGAGGAGATTACACTACAGATTAATAAATACAAGGTTTCTAAAACGTGTCACATTTACTTTGGTTTTAAATAGGACATGAAATTTTGCCATTACCCAATATAACACATTTTCAGAGACTGTGAATTCCAAGAAAACAGTAGATTGTCAAGTCAATTTAAACTAATCTCAAAAGTAAAAAAAACTGGCACTTTCATTCTTTTCAAAAGTTGCTGCATTTATATATCGTGACCAATTAAAAAAGTATACCGTTTGACATGGTTAATTGAACACCACTTAAACAAACTGTACCTGTGTGTCTAATTCCTCGTGTTTCAAGTGGGTGTTGAGTGGGTGGCAACAGTCCCACGAATTGAGTTGTTTATGAAATGTCGGACTCGGAGCTTGATAACTGGTAAAGTTTTGCTGCTACCAGAAAGTGGTGGAGAAACGTTAGATACCTATTTAATGTTCTAGTGGTTAGTTGAATCTTAGCATTACCAAACTCGTCGGGACAGTGTGCTTACTCTGGATGCAGCACAAAATCTAAACCGTGGAATCTCTCGAGGTCAACCTTCGCATTTCTGAAGCTATCAAACAACGGTGGCAGATTTTCCCAAGTGGCAGGCTAAGATTTCTGCCAAGTTTTGGATGACGACACTAATAATGCATTGCTCCTTGTCGCCAATCATGCAGCCCACCTAATTCGTCCGTGCTCATTCGCAAAACATTCTTCTAAAACCACCCGCATGGTCATAAAAAAGACATTGGCTCCCCTCACATCCCTCGGCGCAACGGGAACGCTCAAGTTGCAACGAGAGGGGAGGGGGGGCTTTGCGCCTCCATCGGCTTGAATAAACGTGTCTCGCGAGGGAGGGGGGCCGGGGGTGAAGAGAGGAGTGGGTAGCCAGCCGATTTTAAAAAGCTGCGCGATCAGTGTGATTTTTGACATCGAGGCCTCAGATACGGGCGCGGGATATATTGGTGGTCTGCCAGCACTACCGTTGACACGTCTAGACGACTGCAAGTTTGTCACTCCGTCCACTGATCGTCTAGAGTCAGATATACCACGAATTGGAGCGTTTTTTCGTTAACCAATGTAACATATATACACCTGATTTGGGCACATGCACAAGCACAAGGTCGATATGATTCACGGGTGGGGAAGACTGATGCTATGATTAGTTACATTCGGAAGTTTATGTGCTTCTGTAGACAGTACATATGATTTCATTGACCCTTGAAGAGTGGCTGTCCTCCTCTGGAATACCTTATGTAACCTGAATGAGTGCAGAGGCGGTTTCAGTTAATCGAACAAAGACAATTCACACAACTCCCACCTATTCCACGAAAGTGCCTCCCAACGGGTTTTTCAGTGATTTTGGAAACTTCACCTCCGGCTTAAAGCTTTTTCTTTGGGTTACTTCTTCCCCATTAAAATCACGAAAACAGAAAGCAAGTGATTCCTCACCTCTGAGCCTTCGGCCATAGTCAAATTTGCCAAGGTGGAAAAGAATATTGATAAAGATGTTACTGCTCAACAGAACACAATGATCACACGAAGACATTTGCACGTGCCAAGTTCGGCTAATAAAGTTCAAACGCAAGTAACTTAGGAGGTGATTAACCATCTATATTATTAGGTTTAAGCTAAGAAAATCTCAAGAATCTAAACATAAAAAAATATTACATTGTGTCCACTTAAGCGACTCAAAATTACTAACTCACATCCTAAGTGAGAGTTTGGACCGAATAGGATAATCAAAGTGTTGCCGAATATGTCAACTCAGCGCGATGACCGCTGCAAGGCACGTTCATTCTTAGAATTCAAGCTGGGCATAACCAAGCATACACAGTTATGTTTGGGTAGGCGTCAATTCCAGTTTTGGCTCAGCGAAAAACCGATTTTATCTGGGGTGTTGGCATCAAAATATATACTTGTAAACACTTGTGTTTCCCAAACATAAGAACCTGGTAACGTGGTATAGGGCAGCTGTTCAGGGAACTGTTAAGAAACTTCACCTAACTCCGAACATTCCCGCCTTAGAAGCAAATTTCGAATGACCTTCATTGCTGTGCTCAAACTGTGGCTGCGGACGCAATAGGAATCACAGTGTGGATGGGAAGGCGTTCTGTGATGGGGATGCGGGGCCTCGTCAGAGCCTTGATGAGTGGTGATTGCAACATTATTAAAGGCGTATAACAACAAAATGGAATAGTGGGGGTAAAATTACCCGAACAAATGGCGCCCATATGTCAGCTCAGGGGGCTAGTGGAAGACGGAGAGGGACGGCGGCCGGCCGAGGTGGCCAGCCGGGAGGCTCACAGCTGCAAGCCTGCCGGTGGCACATCTGGGACACACACACACACACACACACACACATCGAGCACATGGTCTCTTGCCATGAACAGATTGCCTTGACATTTGGCTTGTGAGCAACAGCCGGTGCTAAACTCCCGCCTGTCGGGTCTGGCATCTGGTCAAAGGGAATGAATGATGCAACCTGAGATCTGACGTCCAGAGTGGATGTTTAGTGGGTCAAAAGAAGCTTGCAAACCTCGAATAACAATGAATCATAGCATATCCATGTACCCATTCACAGTTCTGCCATAGTTTCCCTTCTGAATTAGGCAATAAAGTCAAATTCCAAACAAACTACATGTCACCAAGTAGTGGCACCACTGTCTATCCTTCTATCACAGTATCTTTGACATGAACATTTTGAGTTTAATTAGGACGAATAGATTTCCACTGAAACGACAATGCGCGAGGAAGGTTTTAGCCACCGCTGTTTGTGTGTTGGCCGAAGTTCCTGACGTTGTCAGTAAAGCCTTAAGTTGGTGTTGAATACTCAAATAATTATTAGCCACCACCGACTTTTTTCTTTATTAAGTCATACAGTGCAGAAAACCAGAAACCTTTATTCACGATGATCAGAAATGTGAATGTGCAAATGTTGGCTATAGTGGAAGCAGCAGTCAGCAAACATTAATTGAACAAAACCTGCAAAACCGAGATTAGTGACTGCTCATTCCTTACACTTAATGAAGACGATTAATTCCTCAGGATGTATGTCATTATGAAATACAAATGCACACACTGTACGTAATGATTAGAATTTTGTGGGTGGTTAAAAATCCATTTCCCTAAAACCGCTCGTAGGCTGAGAAGGGACACTTATGAGAATACTGTTAGGTGGATTCCAGGCACAAAGCACACTTTAAGCATGGCGCCGCATTACGCAGGCAAAGTAGCCGGCTTGGGGGAACAACCTGAATGTTCAATGGTAGATGCAAGTAGCTTCACTAACAAACGCCACCAACTATTTGTAGCAACTAGGATTGCTTGTCAATGGTTGCTCCTTGACGAGTTCCCGTACGTGGACCTCATTATGATATTTCGATAGCGGAATAGCCATTAGTTGAGTTAAGTGAATTCACAATTCCAAGTCGGCGAAGAACGCGTTGAAATAGAAACCACAAATTTTTTCAAACAGATTACCCCGATGACCAACAGCACAGAACACTACCGACATCAGAGAGAACTCGGCTACGGCGTACATGACAGGAAGAAGAATCAAGATATATCAACTGCAAAAATTATCGGAGTATTTCTATCAAACTCAAACGATAAATTATGGATTTTCTACACTAACTAATTAGTGGGTCACTTACTAAAAATATTTATTTTACACTGATGACAACAAGACGGCTGTGAAATGGCTGGATCCAACTGACGGCACCACCGTGGACTCCTAGAACCAAATCAATGACGAAAATTTTCTGGTATTTGTCCGAACACCGAATCACAGCTGCCACACTTCCCTAGCTCGGTGGGATCCCCAACATCCGCCTCTTTGCCTGCAAAGGGAAAACCACGAGGGGGAGAGCAGAATTTACGGCAGGAGGCGACACCTGTCCCCAATGCGAACGGAGCTCTGCCTAAAACACCTGGTACAATACAGCTGCTGCGATTCACTTCACAATGGCTGCCGAAATCGCTTATCAAACACACCACTAATTAGAGCCTTTTCATTCTGAAACTAAGCCAAACTTGCATTTGGTGGATTGTGGTTTTAATAGCAATATCAGGGTCAATAAGTAGCTTCGATTAAAGGAATGAATGGGCAAAGTAATTTCAGGTATCATTCTCACGTTATATGAAGCAAGCGTAAGTTATGGGTAGAAATTGTGGAACGATTTCTCACATATTTCTCATTCTAACTGGCAACCTGCCACTCCTGAGCTGTGCTTCCAAACACCTGTTTTGGTTTTGAGGTACTGCTAACGAGAGAAACACGAGAACTTACACCTTTTTTTTTCGAAAAGGCGTAAAGGTTTTAGAAGTCACGTCGAAAGGGCTAGCCTTGACTACAGGAGGCTGTTTGGGAAGTGGGGCAGGTTGGGGGTGGGGGTGGGGGTGGAGGCACCGCCGACTGTTCACGTGGAGGAGGGCGGCGCGTGTCGCACAGGGTCACTAAAAGCAGGTGGCGCGTGTGAATCACGAGGCCATCTAATTGCCTAGTTGCTAGGCCGCGTGGCTGCGGGTGGCTCAAATCAGGGATCACACACTCGATATTTATCGTTTTCTCAGTGGAAAAACGCATTAGCAGGAGACCTCAGTCAGGCGCGTAATGTCATGTTAATTGAGAATTAATTGTCACTGGGAAATTGAATTTTTTAATCTGAGAACATAACTTAGGAGGATAAAATGACAGTAATTAGTGGCTAATTCGAAGAAGCCAAGACTGTCGAAATAGACTTAAACACCGAGGGACCAAAATTGAAGTCGGAGATTTAATAGAATAATTATGAAAGAAAAATCACCTACTGTAAATGAGTCAGTAGATGTTGCTTTCTATATTGTAAAATGCGTCACCTGGACTCATTTAGCTATTAAGATGTGGACATATTTCAGATGTTAAGAATTAGAGACGTCAAAAATTTGCCTAATTTCACTGAATGAACTTTTTGTGTTAATGTAAACTAACAGCATTCTTCATGTGCTCCTTTACCTGGACATGAACATTTGCACTCGAAATACATTTAACGGGTGAATTTGCCATTATTACTTTTGGCTGAACGAGTGTAGCTCGGCGTGTTGCAACACATGCACAGAACATAACACAGACTGTTCAAATGCCTCCCTAAATATCATTTCTTACTCTAATGACTGTGCCTATACAGGTTCCATATGCCGATTCTATAGGTTAGGGTAAATGGGCATTGATGGGTAATGTCGTAAAATCGTAGACTTCCGAAATACCTACTTTACAGGTGAATGAACTATAAGTGACAGCGACTCTGGAAAAGCCATATGTAAACAAGAGACGGGATCGTTTGGCTAAGAAGAAGTAATTTCATAATGCAAAGGCTTCGTAGAGAGAAATGCATTGGTGAAAGTCAGTGGTGTGTTTTGCTTTGTGCAGACCTATGTTGGGTGGCCTGTAGTGTTTCGGTAAGTAACAAGTGAGTCATGGAGGCGAAATCCCTAAATACAAAATGCACTTCTACCAGTTTAGTATCAGCCAATGTAGTTATTTTCATACAGAGAGAGGAAGGAGGTCGGTGTGTGTGTGAAAATCCCGAGGGGTTCAGAGGGCCTGCGGCTCGGGGCCACCACCGCGTCACGCTGGCCCCAGCCGCGCGCACGCATGGCACGCACGCACGCAGGCGCCTGCCATGACAATTGAGCATCAACGTGTGTTCACGAAGTCGCCAGTAAAAGTCACCGAAGAATGTCGAGCAGCACATCGTAGTGTGCTTTTTTAAGTAAACAACTTTTGTTTAAACTTACGAAGTGCGGAATCGCACGAAATTTCATTTTGGGCCAGGGAAATTCAAATACCTGACGTGAGTGTGCGTGGTGACAACCTTTTTTTTTTACCAAAACCAAAGTGCGTGTCAAGTGTTGCTTAACTAAGTGGCCTCCAGTACATCATGTAAACGTGT